GGAAGACACTTAAAAAATTCATAAATATATTTTTAAGAGAGGAAAGACTAAAACACTTCCTTTTTTTCCCCCACACAATTTTAAGTTTTGTTTTGAACAGAGGAATCTTTTCTTGATGTGATAAAGATTTTATTTCAACCCAGTAGCCATCGTCATTCTCAGTGATGAAACAGTAAGACAATCTCATTAAAACCAAGTGCAAAGATCTCCACTTTTACCGTTTTATGGTTATTGGTCGTATGGTTTTGGAGTTTCTGGCAGTGCCGTCAGCCTGAGACAGGAAAAGCGGGGTGGTCTGTTGGAAAGAATGAGGCAGACGCGTCCTTGTTCGTAGGTGGTGTGTTTACTGACTCCACCCGGAGAGGGTCACCAAGAAGCAGCGGCACTTACTTGAGCATTCAGTGAAGTGACGAAACGAAGGTACCAGCAGTGACCAATAAGAAGAGGGGGCTTATTTCCCCCAAATAGTCATGAAGTAGCTAGAAATAATCTTAAAAGCAATGTGCAGGACTTGCTGGTGATGAAAGAAAAGATTCGGCTAAACATACTCAGCGCTCCTGAACAGAAAATTAGAAGATTATGAGGATGTCACTTCTTGCCAAATTAAAATTTTATGTTTAATGCAATTTTTTATTTCAAATCCACTTTTTTATTCATTTAAAATTATAAGAATTTAATATATAATGGTGCGCTTAAGCATTCCCATATTTGCTTAAAATTTAGGTCATTTCCTTTGGTTTTCTATGAGAAATGCTGTGAAGGAAATCTTTACACAGGCTTGCTCATTATTATTTATTATTTCTTTGGTGTGTTTCTTATGACAAATTCTCATATGTATAAATACTAGATCAAAGAAGACAATTTTAAATATGCAGTATTATCAATACGGAGTTTAATGCAACTTTAATAAAAATGTCTGGGATTAAAAATTGAATAACTGATTAATTTGGAAAAAATAGATGAAAATAAATATAGCTAAGTAAAGTTTTAAAAAAATTATGAGGAAGAAAAACTGGCCCTCTAAATATTGTGACATGTTGTAAAGATAAATTATTTAATCAGCGTGGCACGAGTATTGGCTGTTAGGTGAGTGGGATTAATCTGATTACCCAGAAACAGAATTTGGTCTGTACGAGAATGAATGTATGCTAACCGAGCCATTACAAACCTGCGAGTTTGGGGAGATATTTAACAGGGGGATTGGCACAGTTGGCTAGTTTTTCAGAAAAAGTTAATCCTCATCTTGTATCATATGCCAAAGTAACGTCAGATGGATTGCAGTGTTAAATGTAAGACAGATGAGAATTGCAGAGGAAGGCCGGGTGCTCACTGAGCAGGAGCTGTGCCCCACGTCAGCCCTAAGCCTGAGGAGCCGTGGGCTCACTGACGAACGGGGCCGGCCTGAGCTCTGCCCGAGGACAGCACAGGTGACCAGATGGTGCAGCCCTGCCAGGGTGGGGGCGCCCTGAACAGTGGCTCTCAGAACTGAGGCCCCAGGAGAGAGTCCAAGGTGGTGAGACTGAAGGGGGCCTTCCAG